AGCAGAAGGACTCTGCCTGCGCAAAAAAAAAAAAAAAAAAAAAAAAGACTTTTAAAAAAAACATTGGTGATTGTGGGTAGGTCAATAAATTTCTTAAGTTTTTGAGGGGCACAGATACTGAGAGTCTGATGGAATTTGCTTTAATTCAGGCTACTCATGTACTCTGAAACCACTGATGGATTTCAGATTAAGAACTCTGATGATCTCTAAGATTTTTAAATAAGATTTGGTTAATCTTGGTTAGACACCCCCCCGCCCCAAATCTTTAAAAGTATAAAGCCATATTACCAATGAGCTCATAAAAAGATGTTTCACATCTCTAATCATTAGGGAAATTAAATCAAAACCACAATGAGATACTACTCCACACTCATTAGAGGCTATTATCAAAAAAAACAGAAAACAACAAGCGGTTGGCGAGGATGTAGAGAAAATTGAATCCTTGTGCACTGCTGTTGGGAATGTAAAGCGGTGCAGCTGCTGTGGAAAACAGAATGGTGGTTCCTTAAAAAATTAAAAATAGAATTATATGATCCAGCAATTCCACTTCTAGGTATATGCCCAAAAGAACTGAAAGCAGGGACTGGAATACTTATTCATATACCAATTATTATTCCCAATAGCCAAAAGGTGGAAGCAACCTACATGTCTATTGACAGATGAATGGCTAAACAAAATGTGGTATATACATACAACAGAATAGTACTATTCAACCTCAAAAAGGAAGGAAATTATGACACATGCTATAACAAGGATGACCCTTGAAAACATTATGCTGAGAAATAAGGCAGCCACAAAAGGATAAATACTTTTTGATTCCACTTATTGAGGTACTTCAAGCAGTCAAATTCAGAGACAGAAAGTAGAATGATGGTTGTCAGGCATTGGGGGGCGAGGAGTGGGGAGTTATTGTTTAATAACTGTGTTTCAGCTTGGGAAGATGAAAAAATTCTGTAGATAGATGGTGATGAAGGCTGGACAACAATGTGAATGTACTTAATGTCACTGAATTGAACACTCAAAAAGTTAAAATATTTAATTTTATGTATATTTTACCAGAATTAAGAAAATAAAAAATATAAGGCCATATTAAAATTTGGTTATTAGATTTATCTTTTATTTCCAAGTTTATGATCCCTTGGAAACTTTAAGTGGAGATTCCATTACCTGGAAGTACGATGGCATTTCTCTACACCGTTTCCCAAAATTCTTCATATCATGACACACTGAAAACGGTAATAATTGCAGTACTGGGGTAAAAGGAGGTGGCTGCTTATAACTGGAAATGACTAGCCTGGGGCCCTTGCTCACCCCAGTCTCCATTTGGTTGACCCAAGGAGTCAGTATCCTAGCACACTTGTAACCCATTCTCTGCACCACAAAACACGAACTGATTAATTAAAAATATTAGAAATAGGCAGCTCAGATGTGAGCTTGTCAAGGAAAATTTTTGTTGACCTCCTACTCTCTGTTAGGGACTTTCCTAGTAAACTTCCACAGAATTCTGCTCTTATCATAATGTACTATAAATATCCTATAACTTGACTGTGGACAGGAAATGTCTTATAATTCCCCCCCAGAACTGGACACAAAGCTGTTGTTCAATATGTGTGTGCTGAATGGACAGAACTGTTCATTTAACGGAATTAAATGACTCTTTTTTCATTGTGTAACTTTAAAAATATTTCAAGTTCCTTTCACATACTTTGTAGATTATGCTTAGTTCCAGTCCAGGGTAAACAAAAAGAAAATGTAACTCAAAGCTGCCTAACATTATTAAAATCAAATTCTAAAAGCATTAATTTGTGATGCTAGTTTGGCATTTTATTTATGATTTGTAGTGTTCATAGGAAAACATTTGTTCTTCATGGTGAATAAATATGGTAAATTAACTACAAATTGTGGTAAATTTTCAATGCCTTATAAAGTAATCATAAGCATCTTTGGCAACACATACATTCATATACAAGGAAATATATGCTACTTAGAATTTATCAAGGGCATGAAGTATGAAAGGATTAAAAAAGGTTAAAACTTGAAATTTCCTTGAATTTCACCTTTAGCATTTTTACTTTTTAAAGTAACATCATACAAAAATGCTGACCTTCAAACATCTGTGGAAAAATAACAAAAGAAGAAAAATCAAAGAAGCAACAAGTTGTATAACTTTTATATAGCAAGCTTATATTTTTGATACCAAGTTGGTAGGCCTCTTTTCTATATGTGTTAGAGAAGCCTTATTTGTATAGACAATCTAACTCTAGGCACTATTCCATTAGGATCATATTATACTAGCCCAAATAATTTATGGAAATGGAATTATTTCCATTGGAAATATTGGAATACCTTTATGGTATTGGAACATAATAATGGAAATATACTGATACCTTTAGAAAAATATGAAAATGATGCACAAAACTGAATTTGCCCCTTGGGAATTCACACCTATTTCCATATTACTCATTACTGCTAGTTTTCCTAAACGTCTCATAGTGTCCTCTGGGTGGGAAGTAGAAATATCTAACTACTTCAGCTCTATAACTAATTTACCTTATTTGTAACAGGGTTTTTGAATATGCTAATTTCCCTCTCATTTAAAAATAAGTGATTTTAAATTTATTATTCTTAAAATAAATTTCAGCTTTGTAGTTAGCTAATTTTTTTGCAATTAAAAAATGTATTTTAAGCATTACCATGATTATTATTTATACCTATCTTAATTTTAAATTCTGTACAATTCATATATTTTCCTAATATTTTGGGACAATGTACTCCCTTCATTGTTGAAAGACTTCCCTGATAATTTACTTTTGGAATATAATGATTTTTTACCACCTGACCAACCTCTTGTTATAAAATTTTAATAAGGCTTATAATGAGGTTTTCCCATATAGAAAAAGGCCAAAACCTTTACTTTGTGGTGATAACTTTGCTATAAGTCTAACTATATTGCTATAAAATGGATCAGATTAACAGCAAGACAAAAAATTGGTCTATGCTGTTTTCTACCAAATAGCTAGATTCCTAGATAAGTTAATTTATAACACCAAACAAAGGCAACACATATGAGTTATGTAAATTTTCTAAAGAATTTTTTTAAAGTGTTGTATTTGTTAACTTTTACTACCACCATCATACCATCACCATCCCAACAAATCTGTAAACCTGGTCCAAGTCAGAAATATTCTACTACTTTCCAATACTGAGCACTTAATATATTTCTGTTGGTGATGACATCCATGGCTCTGAAGAAACATGACAGTAAGAAAATCTTGAAATACCTAATTATTTAAACTAAGTCACACTAAATATCAAATTTTCATACAGCATGGTATTGTTAAATTAAACAAGGAGGCCATCACACTGAGGTGGTTCTAGGGCATTAGCAGCCTATGTAACCAAACCCAAACCTAAGCCTATTAATGCTTCAAAGTTAAGAAATAAAAACTAAAATAAACAATCACAAACAGCCAACTAGCCTTTCCCAAAAAAGGCAACCACTTAAGCTATAGCCAATCAAAAAATTTCCTTGCTTTGTTTCTGCATCTTCTCCATAAGTTTTGTCCCTAATTCCTGTTGGTGGGGCGCTCCTAACCACTTCTAGTTTGGTGTTACCCAATTTGAATTGATTTTTGCTCAAACTATTAAAAATGTTCATATACCTCAGTTTATATTTTAAGGTACAGTGAAAAGAGCTTAAGTTATAAAATCAAATGTGTATGCCGGTCCAATTCTGGTTCTGTGACTTACAGGCAGCAAGTCATTCTCTTTGAGCTTCAGTTTACTGTCTGAACAAGAAATATTCCCTACCTTCTACAGTTGCTAAATGGAGTTTAAAAAAAAAAAAAAAGACAATTTTTGTCTTTTGTCCATGCAAAACGCCTGGATTCTTTAGATGCTCAATTAGTAAGAATAGTGAATATT